TGCAGTGATCAGGGATCGCAATTGTGCATTCGCCCTCCGTGGTCACGTACAACGGTGTCTCCTGACATCTCCTTGTGAAGAAATCTGTAAAAGACGAAAAAACCCCAACAAACAGAGCAGCGCAGGCCGACAAATGTACAAATCACGAGGTACTTCTTCTAAGCCAGAAGTCTCAATTTGCACGAGCTATAGCCCGAAGGAGCAGATATCCCTCCTGTATCTCCATCATTATCATCATCATCAACCATGGTCATCATCATCATCAGCCATGGTCATCATCATCATCAGCCATGGTCATCATCATCACTGGCGGAGCCAGTGGGGGGGGTGGCACGTTCCCCCCCCCCCCCAATGATCCGATCGAAATCCCTAATCTGATCATTGGGGTTTATTAGTAATAAATCGGCATTTGCGACCCCCACTGCCACCGCGTAGCATATTATTACGTACCAGGGGCTCTATGAGATGATACGACAATAGTCTGAGTCCATAATTACAAATAGTAACGACAAAGCAGTTATAAGTGAATCAAAGAATTGTGCGTAGTTGCGTATATAGCGAGCGCGATGCCGATCACACGACGCGGTTCGAATTCGACCCTCGATCGATGGCTGCGCCATCGCCGCACACGCGTCGAATAAAAAGCAAGGGACAAGTCCTTACTTACTAATAACTCCTTACTTACTAACAACTCCTATCAGCCTCCCCAAGCCACTGGCACCTCTCACGATCCTGATGCAAAAATGCATCCAGCACCTCCACAGTGAACTGAATACAACGTGAGACCAATTGAACCTCATGACAGGACGCCGGGGTCCCATAAGCCTCTGTCTCTCGCATAAATATTCTATCATTATGTTAACAAAAACTTTGCTCTTTTTCACCAATGGGTTTTAGTTTCATTTCATGTATTAGGTCTAGCCCTGTGAGCCATGCGGCTCTTGACTCGGTTTGAAGGATGGTGGCACGTGTTGTCTTGTTGAACGATACCTTTAACACTGAAAACTACTTCCCTGCAGTATCTCTATTTAAATACGCTATCGAAAAAATAATTTGCACCCCTCTGTGAATCATCGTGTTTCTCGGTGTGGATTGTGAAGACACTTTGTAAACAGTACATAACATAGTACGCGTTTTCAATGCGCTGTTCATATTGTAACAAGCGTTAATACCAATGTTACTCTACAGAGTAGTGGGTCGCCGCTCCTCTTATCCACATTGATACGAGCGGTATGTGGGGACTATGGCTTAACCGCAAAAAAAAACCTATCTGCACAGATGTATACGGACAAGAGAAGTACAGTATTATCAAACAGGAGGAATCAACGGTGCAACGCATCTCATCTGTTAAATATCTGCAGGTAATAGGATTGTCATCGATTGATCCTGGCTGCAGACATTGGTAGGTCACAAATAACAATGAAGATAAGAGAGCAATTTCACTGTATTATACATACCGTGATGACAAATAAAATACTTAAGTGGTGTAGGCAGTTTGAGCAGCTTTGGATAAGACTTATGATCCTGCCCAGACCCGAGCACGGAGTGCATTCGCTTGTTCAGCTCTTGTGCGCATTCATCCTCGCTGCTGCTGCTGCTGCGCTTGGACATGAGAACAGAACGATCTGCGCCAGGCGGTTCGCGGCGATTACGATTTTGACTTCCGTTTATTCGGGACCCCGGGGTCCCGCCATAAGGTTCAATTGGTGTTCCATTGGTGTTTCATTCCAATATGTTTTGTTTAACCAAAAACACTTTTGGACCGGTGTCAACCTTCTGGGGTTGCATCAGCAGAGTCAGCCTTGTCAAACTAATGCTGCTGTGCTGCGAGATGTTATTGGCAAAAGGGACTCCGTCTAAGCTATGGTGCTATGTTCAACGCAGGAAGCAATCACGCTGGGATTTCTCTCTCTGTGTAGTTCTGCACCTCTTCTCTCGTCGCATCCACCTCGAATGTGCAGTAACACAGACATTGTGAATGTGCAGTAACACAGACATTGTGTATGTGCAGTAACACAGACATTGTGAATGTGCAGTAACACAGATATTGTGTATGTGACACATCCCTCGTGAATATAACACATTCATTGTGACAGGTCCCTTGTGAATGTGACACATATATTGTGAATGTGACACATCCAATGTGACACATACCTTGTGAATGTGACACACGCAAGTGTGAATGTGACACATCCAATGTGACACATCCCTTGTGAATGTGACACACGCGAGTGTGAATGTGACACATCCAATGTGACACATCCCTTGTGAATGTGACACACGCGAGTGTGAATGTGACACATCCAATGTGACACATCCCTTGTGAATGTTCCACGCGCTCCGCGAGTCGTCTCGCCGCCCTCTCGAGGCCCGCCGGCTTTGTTGAGGCCCCGGGAGGCCGTCTCCGTCTTTATATAGACGGAACCTGCTGTTTGTCTCAGCGGCGCTGCTAAAAATACTCATCAAGTCTCCCCTCCCTCCCTCCTGCTGCTGCTGCTGCCGCGTTAATTGAAGTGGTCGGGAAGACGCGACGGATACTGGGAGTGGAGCGAGAGTGGATAGTGGACTCGGAGTCGAGAGTGGACTAGGGGTCGAGAGTGGAGAGTGGACTAGGGGTGAGAGTCGAGGGGGCTCTATCCCTAATGAAGGCAGAGAGGGGTTATGAAGGAGGATTGCGGTGCCGAGGGAGCGACGGCGCGGGGCTAATTGAAAGGTTTTTTTTTATAATGAAGCAGGCGAGGACAGGGGACAACAGCGTGTATTCATAGCTCAGCTGTGAGCATCTGCCTGCAGGCAACCCGAGTCGCGTTCAACGTACACGCACACAGCCAAACCCGCATAGCAGCATCTGCAGCAACAGTAGCTGCATCAGCAGCATCGTGAGCAGGAGTATACGCAGCAGCAAGAGCAGCAGTAGAGCCACAACAGCAGCAGTCCTAGGTGTGGTAGCAGCAATATCAGCAGCAGCAGCAGTCCTAGGTGTGGTAGCAGCAATATCAGCAGCAGCAGCAGTCCTAGGTGTGGTAGCAGCAATATCAGCAGCAGCAGCAGTCCTAGGTGTGGTAGCAGCAATATCAGCAGCAGCAGCAATTGGCAGTAACAACAGCAAGAGCAGCAGGGACAGCTGGCCACGACGCGCGGACGGGCGCGATTCGTCGATTGGCGTCGCCGCAGCGGATTCCTCGTGCAGAGCAGAGAACGCGCGGCGGATCGCATCGCCACTCACCCTGATTGGCGTTTAGCTCGAGTCCAACGTTAGTTTAACGTTGACTTTGTCCGGCGCCCCCCCCCCCCCCCCCTGTGTGTGTGTGCCCACATTTAAACAAGGTCAGGCTACATGGCTGCTGACAGCTCTTCATTTCTCACTGAATATTTTCCGGGTGGCTGGGTAGACTGGAATGACCCAAGGCTTTGGAGGCAATGGTTGGTGGATCACGCGCAGATTTGTTAACTTCCCAAAACAAAACTGGAAGATGCGAGGTGGGCCAGTAGACGGTAGTACAGCAAGTGGGTTTATGGCCCCGTCGGTATGGATCTTTGAACGTTACCTATGTAGTGTGTGTGGTCTATGGTGTGTGTGGTCTATGTAGTGTGTGTAGTCTATGTAGTGTGTGTGGTAGTGTGTGTGGTCTATGTAGTGTGTGTGGTAGTGTGTGTGGTCTATGTAGTGTGTGTGGTCTATGTAGTGTGTGTGTTTGGTATTGTGTGTGGTAGTGTGTGTGTGTGTGGTATTGTGTGTGGTAGTGTGTGGTCTATGTAGTGTGTGTGGTCTATGTAGTGTGTGTGGTCTATTTGGTGTGTGTGGTAGTGTGTGTGGTCTATGTAGTGTGTGTGGTAGTGTGTGTGGTCTATGTAGTGTGTGTGGTAGTGTGTGTGGTCTATGTAGTGTGGTAGTGTGTGGTCTATGTAGTGTGTGTGGTCTATGTAGTGTGTGTGGTCTATGTAGTGTGTGTGGTAGTGTGTGTGGTAGTGTGTGTGGTCTATGTAGTGTGTGTGGTATTGTGTGTGGTCTATGTAGTGTGTGTGGTCTATGTAGTGTGTGTGTGGTCTATGTAGTGTGTGTGGTATTGTGTGTGGTCTATGTAGTGTGTGTGGTAGTGTGTGTGGTCTATGTAGTGTGTGTGGTCTATGTAGTGTGTGTGGTAGTGTGTGTGGTCTATGTAGTGTGTGTGGTAGTGTGTGGTAGTGTGCGTGGTCTATGTAGTGTGTGTGGTAGTGTGTGTGGTCTATGTAGTGTGTGTGGTGTGTGTGGTAGTGTGCGTGGTCTATGTAGTGTGTGTGTGGTATTGTGTGTGGTCTATGTAGTGTGTGTGGTAGTGTGTGTGGTCTATGTAGTGTGTGTGGTGTGTGTGGTAGTGTGCGTGGTCTATGTAGTGTGTGTGGTATTGTGTATGGTCTATGTAGTGTGTGTGTGGTAGTGTGTGTGTGGTGTGTGGCTACGAACCCGGCGACCCGAGTTCGATTCCCGCTCACGGCCGACACCAGGGACGATTATTAGAATCAGCCCTTGACCTCCCCTACGTCGACTCAGCCTCAAATGAGTGCGGTGTTTAAACAACGCCACAAGGGAGGCAAAGGCGGTCGGGCGTGGTGCTGGCCACCCACCCCCTAATGTGCCGTATGCATGTTCATATGTGCTCGCTAACAACACTTGCCCCAAAAGTCTGTTGGGACTATAACAGGGATCTTTGTCTTTGTGGCAGCTCACGGAAACCACGCGCAACAATCAGAGGCCCAGCCCCTCTCCATCTCCATCTATAGCCGTGAACCTCTGGCCTCTGGTGAAGTGGCGGGGGCACGTTACGTGACATACCCCTACTTACAGCCCCCCCCCACCCTGCATTCACCACCATTCCTTCAATCACCACCACCCACATCACACCCACCCACTCACCCACCCACTCACCCACCCCCCACACATCACACCCACCCACTCACCCACCTACTCACCCACCCACCCACTCACCACTGCGCGCCTCTATAAATGCGACGAGACTTCGCATAGCCGCCCAACAGAAGGAGCAGCGCAGCCGTCCATAGACCCGTCCATAGACCAGGCGACACCTCTCACCCTCCACGCCACCATGGCCCCGAAGGCGCCGGCGAAGAAGGTGGAGCCCCCGAAGAAGGAGGAGGCGAAGCCGGCTGCTGCTGCTGCCCCTCCGCCGCCACCGGAGCCGCCCAAACCTGCGTTCGATCTCTCGACCATCGTGGTACGCGCGCTCACGACGATGGCATTGGTGGTGGCACTGGTGGCAGGAGTCATGGTTGGTGACAGTGGTAGCGGTGGTGATCGTGGTTTATGGTGATAGTGGTGTTCATAGTGGGGAGCGTTAGTGTAGCGGTTAGCGCACTGCGCTACGAACCTGGCGACCCGAGTTTTCGATTCCCGCTCCCTGCCAACACCAGTGACGATTATCTGAACTGGGTTTGGGTCTCCCCTAGGTCGACTCAGCTGAAAATTAGTATCTGGTGCGGTGTGCAAACATCGCTACTGGGGAGACAAAGGCGGCCGGGCGTGGTGCTGGCCACCCACCCCCTCGTGTACCGTGCCGGCCTTCATAGGTGCTCGCTAACAGCACTTGCCCCAACAGTCTGCTAAGGCTATACGGGGCATCTTTGTCTTCGTTATTAGTGGTAGCAGTGGTGGTGATGGCCGTCATAGATATTATGATGATGGTGGTAATAATGTTGATGGCGGTAGAAGTTGTGGTGGTGGTGGTGTCTGTGGTGATCATGGTGGATGGACATTTGTCGACGTCACACGCTTGTCGCCACCACAGTCACTATCGTTGCGCAATAAGTTGGTGATTAGCGCGCACGTGTTAAGCGACAGCTGCAGTAACGGATTGGTTCTACTGAGAAGCCGCTGCTAACGACCAAGGGGACGCATTCTGTTTACAGAGGAAAACAAGACAACAGTTACGACCTGCAAGCTAGCGAGAATGTTACAGTCATATCAAGTGTGTATTGGCAGGTATTCACGTTGCCAGCTTGAATGTCTTGATATTTGCATGATATTCTCAACCGAAGGGAGTGCCACGTTTCGATTGTTCTAACATTGAAGTAATTACAGCCCCAGTGTTAATCCACTCCTGGGTGAGGGCATTCCCCGCGCCGCGTGGGCTGTGCGGGTTGATATGAGCGCGCTTCAGCACGCTGGTCAGTGCGGGTTGACGCGGGGGAGTGGCCCAGGGTCGGTGCAGACATTACGAGCCACGGACGTTAGCCGTGGCTGGGAATCTCCTGGGAATCGAGATCTTGTGCGGTCACGGCTCACGGTGCAGTGCGCCAACCACCGCGCCACCACTCCGCCCGCGCAGAGTGATTTGGGTAATGTAACGATGTCGTCGAGGAGTGCAAGGTCGCACCACCAGAGGTGGCAACGTTTTCAACCGTAAAATATCTTGTTAAGTTTATTTTGTTGGCGAAAACTCTAGAGACCAGGATAGTTTAATTTGCACGAGTCAACTGAGGCATTAGTCTACCAGTATAGGGCGATGATTGCCGCTGCTGAGTGTAGAATCCCAATTGAGTGCTGTACTGTAATTTGCGGTGTAATTTCTGTATAATCTGACAAGGATCCTGACGCCGAAACACAATTGTGGCCCACTCTTGCGAATTACGTCAGGTGATCATTACCGCCCACTGTGAAGAAGACAGAGCGCCTATCACCGTGGTTATTGCGCCCTAATTATCATTAACCAGGGTGGCCGCTGGAATCGAACCTCTGCAGCAAGCGGCGAAGGCGCTACCGCTGGGCCGCGTCACCACCATAGAGGCGCAGCCCTGCAACTGCCCGCTCGCGCCAATGCTGGTGGAAGCGCCTCCACTCAGGGGGAGCTCTGGAGAAGCCCCTCTAATGCAGGGTGTTTGGCCTGCTCTTCCATGCTGACCAAACGCCTCGGAAGAGATGGGAGTACCCACAGAATCAGAACATGTATTTATACTGGAGGAATCCAATGAGCTATGAAGCTCTTTTCGATAGATATCCAGTTGGGGCGGGTCAGAACGTTACAACAAACAGTACAACACACGGTATGAGTGCAAAGTATAGGAAAGGTAAGCACATCACTTCAAAATATATTTTAAAAAACTTTTTTTTATCTTACCAGGTGAAGCCCACTGAGGTATTAACTTATTTTTGAGGAGCGACAAATGATAGCTCAACAAAGTGGAGTATTATCAAGGTCAGGTGACAGGTACGAGTGATACACGTGGATTCTAGATGTGATCGTGTTCACGCTCATGGTGCATCTAGCGATTCATGGCTGCCGATTGGTTATTTGTTGTTGATGTAAATTAAATGCGAATTGGACACCGATGTCGTCACGTCGCTGCTCGATCGAACCCGACAGTGTTACAAACGAAACAGAACGGCCGAGAAGCCATATAAACTAGACAGTAAAATCGAGACAAATATCGATTGTTGAATAATCGATTATAGGCTCGCGATTCTATTACATTGATTTCTACGTTTCAACACTAAATTGAAATTATAGACCGCCAGCGGCTGGTGGGATCACGTAAACCCGTTGCACACAACACACATTGTGTACATACACAACACACATTGTGTACATACACAACACACACTGTGTACATACACAGCACACATTGTGTACATACACAGCAATTCTCAGTCCACGACTGGGTGAGGGCCCCCCATGGTGGATGCTGCATTTTTTTCGCATGTAGCCAACCGTGCTAATCGGTTCCTGGGGGTTTATTGACCATACTTCACCACGCTGGTCCGTGCGGGTCGGTGAATGCGAGGAGCATTTTTGTTTCCCACCACGTAGCCCCACGTCCATATATCCTACGTACGAGTTTACAATAACATCGGATGTTACACACGCGATGCGATCGATGTTAATCGATTAAGTGGTGCTGCCCTCGTTGGGAAAACCATCGAGTTCCAAACTCGCCCGACTCCACGAGTCGTCCCCGTGCCGCTGTCCGCTCGGGCCTCCTGCGGGTCACGCTGTGCTGACCTCTGAATTCGTGAGATCAATCGTCATCGCGATCAGCCACTATCCATCCAACTCGTGTTGCAGGTGCTGGGTTGGATTGATGCATGGCACGACCGGGATTGATCGATCCCAAGCCGTTGCCATCTCTCCCGTGCGATGCAACAATCCAGCCCAGCACCTGTAGCACGAGTTGGTCTCACCGCTCCGTCTCCAGGACGGGCGTGCCCACGGATGCGATTCATCCCTTGGCTGCCTTTCCGCCACTATTCGTGACCATCGCCCGTGGTCCCTTCTGGCCATGGCGTGTCCTGCACAAGCCCCGCTCACTTTATCTTAAACGTTGAAATTTCGTCATTAGCCTGGATGCGTTCTCTAATCCACGTGCCCCCATTTCTGTCTTTCAGTGATAAAAAAAAGTGTGTATGTATGTTGAACTTCTTTCGCACCGTACGTAGCCAAACTGTGCTAATCGGAGGTGCGAATTTTATGTGAACGTATAAAAACATTCATCTTGCCTTCAACATGTGTGCACATCCAATCCTTCACAAACCCGCACGAACTCGCATGGTGAAATATGGGCAAATAATCCCCATGACCGGCAAAGCGTGAGGTGGCCTTCATCCAGCAGTGGACTGACTTAAAGGCTGTGAAAATATCGCCAACGGGGTTCCTTAATTTTATTATTTAATCCACATCGTTTTTAAACATTCAGAAAATAAAATCGGGTCAGAGATCTCTTTTTGGTCGCAATGTCGCCACGGGTATTGTGAACGCCGTCACCCTTGAAGTTAGAGGTGATCGTTTCCACGGCACAGCCCTGGACAGCTCCGGCTGAAGAAAAAACCTAAGAATAAAGGCGTATTCGTTATCCGTGATCTAACCTGACGTGTTTCTTTTACTTTCTTTCCCAGATTGAATTCACGCAGGATCAAATCGAAGGTCGGTTTCCATTCGCACCCCACTGCCAGAACACCATTATTGTAATCCATCTGTGCGGAACTGCGAGTGAAATCCCCTCGTGTGAGTGCGGTCTCTCCTGGCCTCGTGAAGCCGACCACTCGCAGTTGGTTGGGCTCCGAGACTCCGAAGCCCAACTGCGTTGAGAGTTTAGTTTATCCTGCTCGTCATCCCCGCTGCCGCCAGGCGGCGCTGCGATCGTGGGGGAGGCGAGAAGTGTGGGAAGAGCCCACGGGTGGGAGGTAGGTAGGTAGCGAGCGCTCTGTCGTCTTAGCACGAGAATCCAGCACGGCGCCGTGGGGTGGAGGTGAGGGCGAGATTTGCGATTCGAGCTCAAGCTATGGGTAAGGGGGCCAAGGGTGCTCTTATTCGAGTTCCGGCGACTGCTCAAGTCCTGACGAGACCCACGATGATGCTTTGCCTAGGGATGTGATTCGGCACGGGGTGAGGGCTCAGAATGTGGTAACGGCTAAAGCCAATGCTATGGTATGAGTTTGGGCTTAGGCTCGATTTAACGCTGCGATCTTAGCCCTTAGACTATGCCAAGGGCGAAGACGATGGTGAGTGCGATAGTGCGGGCCAGGACTCGGCTTTAAGCCAGCGTTGAACCGAATGCTGCTCGCATTCATCATCATCACTGCGGAGAGAACCAGCGGCCAGGGGGAGATGAGCTGCACCACCACCACCACCTACCTCGTGTGCTGTACCGTCCTTAATAGGTGCTCACCAACAGAACACGTGTGCCTGTAGTCTGTAATCCTGAGTGCTTGTGGCTGTGTTAATTTAGTGGACATTGTATGTATTTATTTTATTCCAGAGTCGACGACAACCTGAGGAATGGTGTTCAAATCTGTGGATTTAATGTCACCGTTCTCTAAGCCTCGTCGACGAAAGCAGCCGCACATTTAGTCAAACACTATTAGCTAAATGTTACCAGGTCAGCCAAACGGTGACATCAGTAAATATGATTTTTTATATATTTACATATACCGTACGTCAACATACCAATTACCCCAGTGCACCGCAGTTCCTTCCCCATAACGCCACTAAATTATCTCCGTCTGCATCTTCACCCAACGTCCTCGTGTCATGGTCTTGCTTTTTGGATGTGTTGGCTCGCCATTCATCGGCAGCTTTGGTGACCGCACCACGATTCACGCTCACGGCCAACACCCGTGACGATCATCTGAACCGGTCCTGAGCCTCTCCTAGGTCGACTCAGCCTCAAATGAGTACCTGGTGCGGTGTGCGAACATCGCCACTAAAGAGACAAAGGCGGCCAGGCGTGGTATTGGCCACTCACCATCGTGTGTCGTGCCGGCCTTCATAGGTGATCGCTAACAGCACTAGCCCCAACAGTCTGTTAAGGCTACACGGGGGATCTTTGTGTGTGTGTGTGCGCACAGAGTTCCGCGAGGCGTTCTCGCTCTTCGACCGCACGGGAGACATGAAGATCACCTACTCGCAGTGCGGGGATATCATGCGCGCCCTGGGGCAGAACCCCACCAACTGCGACGTGATGAAGGTGCTGGGCAACCCCAAGCCTGAAGGTTCGCTACCGACTCACGTGGGCTTTCACTCTGGTTGTAGGTGGGGTAAAAACACGAGGGTATTTCGCAGTGGGAAATGCCACGTATGGAATATATACGAACAGCAGTGGGGCTCTTTTTTTTTAGACTGATATCACTCGCCTCGCCCCTGTCCTCCGCAGAGATGCTGGTGAAGACGATGGACTTTGACACGTTCCTGCCCATGATGCAGGCCATCTGCAAGATCAAGGACCAGGGCTCGTACGAGGACTTCGTGGAGGGCCTGAGGGTGTTCGACAAGGAGGGCAACGGCAGGGTGATGGGGGCTGAGCTGCGCCACGTGCTCGCCACGCTCGGTGAGCCCTCGCGCCGGGGCACTCGTCGCCTCCTCCTCCCCGGCGGAGAGTAGCGGCACAGTTCACGCGGCTCAAACGGAGCGTTTTTTTCCAGTTTCATTTATTTGGTATAGCCCTGTGAGCAATTCGGCTCTTGAATCGAGTGCAACCGCAACAAACAAAAAACATGAACAATAAAACATCTTATAGTGACTTTGTCACTGTGGAAACAGAAGATCCAAGAAAAGACGGCAACATATTGCAGTACGGGCGACCTCCCGTGGTCACGATTGTTCTTCTTTCTACGTTTATTTTTGTCGCCAATTTTATACCGATTGTGCAATTGGTGTCATATCGTGAGATGAAGAACACAGAGGGAATGGCCTGTGGAAGTGGATATCATCGAGACCCCTACAAATGACATCTCGTTCATACAATAGGGCGCAGCACTTTCCCACCCTCCGTGCCACTGAAATCAATGTTCGCCGCATGGCAGTCGAACCCAAAATTTTGTTGAAATCTCAGAGATGAAATTTAGCCTAATTAAGCGCAGAACCAAACATTTGATGTGATGATGTTTTTGTGTGCAGTCGTTTTAGTGACTGGGCTGAAACCATCGGTTCACTCCTCTTCAGAACCCAGGTTGTCGGTTGTTCCAGCGCAGCTCCATGACCTCTGAGTCTCCCGGCCACCGCCTCTTGTGCTGTCAAATTTCAATGCAGTAACTTGGTCACTTCGTGATCGAATGTCGGAGCGTAGCGACTCCGTGGCCACATGGCCACGAACACGTAGGCAAATAATCCAATTACCTTAAGAGACAAGAAAAAGAGACGACACATTGTACGCCTTCACCCTCATGTGTTTATCGCCTAATTATTTGTGTTGTTGTTTTTTCCCTCTTGTTTCCACAGATAATCGAGAGTAGCTGACTAGTAAAGTGTGCAACGTTCATTAACAACTTTGCTATGGGTTAATCTGAAACTGTGTGCGTGCGTGCACATGTATATCTGCGTGCGCACGAGTGTGTAGTGTAGCGAGCAGTGGCGCAGTGACTTGCGCACTGCGCTACGAAACCGGTGACCCGAGCTCGATTCACACTCATGGCCAACACCGGTAACGAATGTCTTGACCGATCCTGGGCCTCCTCTAGGTAGAGTCAGCCTTTTCAACGAGTACCCGGCGCAGTGTGTAAACATCAGCACTGCGAAGACAAAGATGGCTGGGTGTGGTGTTGGCCACCCATTCCCTCATGTGCCGCGCCGGCCTTCATCGTAGCTCTCAGACGGCACTTGCTCCAACAGTATGTTGACAGCCTATGTGGGCGATTTTTGTCTTCGTGTTTATGTGCAGGCGAGCGGCTCACGGAGGATGAGGTGGAGCAGCTGATGAGCGGTCAAGAGGACTCGAGTGGCTGCATCAACTATGAAGGTATCATTGCAATGTGGAATTTCCACCACTGCGACAGACACCGGGTGTCTCCGCGTGGCGTTAGACTCGGCCAACGCCACTCTACTGGGACCAGGGATTCACCCAGGGGTGCTGGAGGGGTCATTTCATGTCATGGATAATTTAGAGTAATTTTTACTAAATGTAAAATTGGCAATAAACAATGATTATTGATGTACTGCCCATTTAATTTCAGACATTACATATCATAATGAAAACTCGTTTCACAGTACTGTATATGTAATAAATTGATACTCTTGATAGAAAAAAACAATAAGCCCCCTTGAAAATGTTTAGCTGGGTGTGCCACATTAATTTCGATAAGAGTGGTTTACACAAGGCGTCTGTGGCTTCATTTTCTCACGGACGATGCCAATGAGTGAGATATTTATCGATGGCGATGAACATTTGTGTTCAAGTAGCCAATCGGGACCATCTTCATTGTACAGTGGTTGGCACAATTTGCAGGTTTCATTCAAACCCCAGGTCAGCGCATCAACCTTCTGGGTCGATAAAATTAGTACCCCCTTATGGAGAAACAAATTTGGTCCGCTGTCATAGCAATGTGGAATTTTTACCACTGGTTCAGGGCTGTAAATGGGAGTTGGAAACCGCCTCAGTGCTCATCTGACTGAATAACCCACTTCGATTTTTTTATAATGAGGGCTCCTGGCTCATTCTTGTGTGTATAATATTCCTTGGAGGATATTTACTTTAAATGTATTGTGTGTCTCATTGTTTTATGACTTCCAGCTTTCATCAAACACATCTTGGCTGGCTGAGACTCAAGGTACATTTTCCATCCTTTGCTTTTCACAAATCTGCAACAAATGTGACATTCCACATGGCTGGCATGGCACCAGCAGGGAGGAGAAGCGTAGGAGAGAGTCACGATCCACTCGGCTCGCTCCCTCTTTCTTCCCGTACCTGCCTGTTTGGTCTGTATGTATGTATGCATGGTTGAAGTTCTTTCGCACCATAAGTAACTGTGCTAACCGAAGGTGCGGCCTGGTACCAGTATTAGAATTGGCACCATCACTGGTGCCCAGCTTATGACAATGACCTTCCGAAGGGAACAGACATTGACACGTGCACTTCATCGATTAGCACCTCACTTGTATCAATGTTGAACTTCTTTCACACCGTACGTAGCCGACCGTGCTAATCAGAGGTGTGAGATTGTGGCATTTTGTTAATTTGTGCACAAATGAGTTCAAGAGAACTACATACACTTTATCGTTTTCTTGTAGTGATATAAACAAACCATTATTTTAATAATTGTACTTTAACAGTTGTATCGTATATGTTCACTAAAGCAGCAACCTAAATAGAGTATTTATAATCGTCGGTACAAAAACGAACAATATCAATCAAACATTACCATCTATGATCGATTGAACTATTTCCAAGGCTCATGCAGTCCTCTGTGGTCATAACGATCTTGACGAAATGCACAAACCTATTGACTTACACTGCACGCGTATTGTGTGTCCGTTTGCTGGACTGAAGGCCACCTTTCCTGCCTCTACTCCCCGAGGGCCACTTGCTCAGTGCAAGTCGAGTGACACCCGCCTCCCATTCAACACGTTTCCCATAGAACATAATTAAACACACATTCTCTCCTTCCCCACTCATTGACTCATAGGAAAACCTTGAGAGTGGCGTCAGTAAACAAAAACAATGTATTGTGTTTGTTTTGTTTTCAGAATTGCTCTGCTGGTGTTAACAGAAAGGCTGGAACAGCTCAACCTATTGCGTCAATGAAAATGTTTAAAATGTCAACCCCCTACGAAACCTGTGTAGTCATGACGTGCTGATGAGCATTATGGACATCTTGTCGTGGACATGTTTTGTGCATTGTAAAATGATGCTGTGTGTTAACGAGTGTCGTGAAATACAGACAACAATTACAGTGATGTACTGGATTTTTAAATACATTTTGAAAAAATGTACCGAGTCTCTGAGCCATCTTTAACAGCCTCACTCTTAATTAGTACTGGAATATGAGAGCATTTGGAAACACGGATGCCCCATCTGCAATGAGGATTTCCATTTACCATTTTGCGAGCGAAAGTCACCAGTGACTTCTTCTACTCCTGTGGGCCATGCGTTATTTATCCTGGAAGTGGGCAAACTGCAAAGGTGTTCAAACAAAGTGCACACTGTGTAATCTATTACCCCTGGATATCGCGAGTTTTGTTGACTGGTGAATTCGCCATTGTTTATTCACAAATAAAAAGGAAATCTAGGACCTTTTTGCCAGTATCAAAGCATGGAAAGATAAGAATAGGGTTTACCCTTTCCCGGTAATAGCTGCTCATCTCAAGCTATAGATGCTCTGATAGTGCATTGTCCTTGTGCTGTTCGCCTTTGGCGTTCTCTGGTCTAACACTGGTGAGACGAGGCCATAAAGAAGACTGTCTCTGGTGTAGGCCAATCAGTTTCAAAGACAATGCCCAAATATTATATATCAAAGCATGCTTGTTTGCATGTTCACCACAAGTATGTGTGGTTAATGCAGACTTGATTCCTTGCAAAAGGTTTCTATTTGATGTTTGAACATCTTAACACTTGTTTTATTTCCAGAAAGGGGAAAACATTTTGATTTTATCACAAAAAAGTCAATCTATAGCTTACTGTCTTGCACTTTATTGCAAGATGTTTATGTCTAAACCGTTTTTAGTGTCTACCAGAGATGAAGTGATACAATCAGTTTGTTTGCCGTAACAAATGGATTGTTGCATCTCAAGACTGAGAGATGGAGATGGCTTGGGGAGGCCTTCATCCAGGAGAGGAAAGATCAATTCAGATGATGGGGATGATGATGTGTAAAAATATTAATATTGATTCTTAAGCTCCCAATAAATGCGTAACGTCTGCTAAGAATCAATGTTTTGTTTATATATGTGATATGTAATCTGTTCAGAATTCATCTGCGTTCACCACATTATGACAAAACGTGTGATGCTTGAATCGAACCGTGAATCGAACTGTGAGCTGAATAGCGGCAATTCATCAAATCGCTGGCGGTAAGAGCCATTATATGCCCCAGAGTGCTACTACCAACGTGCCTCCTACAACACGTGGGATTACTCGTGGAATGCTTGTGGGGGTGGTGGTGGTGGACGGGGTGCTATAAATGGGAAATCAGGAGAATGAGACCTTGAGACACACTGAGGAGTGTTGGGGAGGTACAAGCCCATGGCCAGCTGAGATGGAACAGGTGGACACTACTTGATCACTGAAGTAATACATCCTGAGAACGCCCTTATTGTGTCACACGTGATTTTCTGCAGAGGTGCTGGTTTCTCGTGGAATTTGGGTCTGTGGAGGTATTCAGATACTTCTGCAAATGCTGCCGATATAATGCAATTTTTCCAACGTGCTACTTAATATTCAGAAGCTGCTGACACTACGTATTATAATATCACACTGACCGCAGTTTTAATTACTGAAAATTTCTTGAATGGTGGTTGTTCTTAAAGACATCGTTTGGTGTTCAACAGCTTCTTTTTAAAAACTTAATGAAGTTGCCTCCTAAGCTTTAGCAGTGTAGGGTTTTCTGTGAATTAGTCTATAGTGCTAACTTGTCTTTGTGTGTGTCGCGTTCTGTAATTTCACACTTGCATCCACACAAAAGGACTTCCGTAAGCTTTTTTTTTAAACAAGGTAATGTTATAATATGAGGCTTAGATGTGACTGTGTCATGTTGAACACAAAATATGATGCATCACCAATGGATTCTTAACAATTATCAAGGCGCAGTGTCCATACAATTTTAAAGAATAAAAACGTGTTGAGTTTTAGGTGAAGTAATTATGGTCGTAGATAAACAAACAAAACTGTAATTTATTTTTAAAAATCTAATATTTTAATTGAGTTTGTTTAGACTGAATGAATAATGTCCTTACAAGAACCTGTTTAGGTCCTGTGCTGTATCCACTATTATACATTTACCCACAAGAGGAATGGCCCAAGATCGTTGATAACACGCTGGTGTCCACATCGAAACTGCATGAATTACGTGAAGGACCGCGGGTGTTTTAGGAATTCTGAAAGCCCTTGGCATGATGACCTCATGGTGCGAAATCTATTAATTTCGCTTCCAACTATTTAACAATTGCAGGTCCGTGTGAATCGCTGGGGGTACATCTTGTGGCCTGTTCCGAGGATTTGAGTTATTTCACAAATAAATATAAACCACCAACACCTGCTATGGCAGACGGCGTTAATAAACGTGCCTTGTGCTTTATGACCTGGGCCTGCGCATGGCAGACACCTGCAATGAAGGACTTTGTTTTACGTTTTTGTTTGCATCGAGGTTGCCGAGCAGAGGCCCACGACGACGAGTGGCTAGCAACAAGCTGCACGATTACAGCTGTAATCGATTGTCAAGCAGCATATTGTGCAACGCTCGGTGTGTACGACTGAATGTAAACATCTTTGTTGTTGTTGTCGCTGCAGCAAGATCGTTTGCAGCAATGGGTGCACGTGGCCACTGAATGAGCATTAATGGGCACATCGATTGGTTGTAATTGGCATTGTTGTTAAAGTTAATCTAATCAAGGCCAAGTGAATTTGCTTAAAACACTAACTCATTTACGAGCGAGTGCCACCTAATCATAATCGAGTTCCTTCCTTGCAGTTAATAGGAATATTCAGTTTCATCAATGTTAATTACTCATGACCATTTTGTGTGGGAATTACTTATTGTAAAAATCCAATAATTGTCACGTTTTACGCCTTTATCTGAGGGGAATCACGACACGTTTGAGTATCATCGTGTAACTAGAGACGTTTGTTTGACCTTCGCAACAATCGGTTGGACAATTTAAAGTTGTAACGCTTTGGGGCGATGTGCGACGGCTTTCACGCGTGAGACTCGCGCCGCCGCCCCCCCACCTCCTTGCGAATTTCCTTCACAAACTCCCAACGGTCACGAGCGCCGTGACGCGTGACGTGATGACGTGACGCGTGACGTGCCGACGTGACGCGGTGACGTGCCGCGTGACGTGATGACGTAACGCGGCGACGTGCCGCGTGACGTGATGACGTAACGCGGCGACGTGACGCGCAAACCGCGAGTGACCACGCGCGCTGACGTCGTTCGCGACGTCTTTGTGCAAGTGGGAGGAGGCACAAGCTGCCGGTGGTGCATCCAGCGGCCATCTCAGTCGGCCAACCCATGGCACCTGCAGAGTCTGTCCCGAGACCTCCTGTCAGCGAGCCTTCGACACTTCACGTGATAGCCTCACAGTGCACCTAGCCTGGCACAGGCGCCGTGGAGACGTCACCGTCACTTAGTGGTGAATGGCGGCTATTGGTATTGGATGTCATCGCGAACGTCCTGACGTCAGACCGAGGCGCAGGACCACGTGATGACGTGGCGCGTGTCGTCGTGCACGAAGAACGGATGTTGACGTCGCGTCGCGTGAAGGGCGACGCGGTGACGTCACGAGACCCCGCCCATGCCATTGGCGCGCGGCAGCGCATTAGGGCGCTATCACGTGACGACGCTCGGTGCGTCCTCGCGTCACGTGGCAGCGCGATGACGTGGGGACACCGCGCGGTCCAATCGGAGACTTGAGATCCTCCCCTCAGGCCACGCCCCTCTGACCACGCCCCTCTGGCCACGCCCACCGCGTGCCCACGCCTCGTGTCGCCCATAAGGAGGAGGCGGTGAGCAGGGAGCGGCTGTGCAACCCGACCCAGCCCAGCCCGGCCGAACCCAACACAGATCCCGGCCCAGGCGAGCAAGCAACGAGGCCGACGGGAAAGAGGCACGCGGCGAGCTGCGTGTGCCGCCCTTCAACTCGTCCGAGGTGCGGAGCTATGCGGAGGCGGGACGGGAAGGGGTTGACGCTCATGGCGGGAAAGGCGCGTCTTGGCCTCCTTTCTTCGCGTCTGTGCTCTCCTCTCGTGTCTCGCTCGTGGGGAGGGGTGGGGGGCCTTGGTCACCGCAGTGGCGGTGTCTCTCCTCACTCGCTCACTTGCCCCGAACACCCCCACGGGCGTCCCGTGGGACGCGGCAGCCGCCCTGCGATCGGCGCTGCCGCCCCTTGGAAGAGCAATGACGGCGGCACGAAGTTGCGACGTTGTTTTAAAGTGGTGCAGAAAGTTTATGGAGCTCGTTCTGGGGCGTGTGGTGGTTATTGAGGTAATACTGGTTCTGGTAGAGGAAGTTGGTGGTGGTCATGATGGTTGTTGATAGTTCTGCTGTTGAGTCAGACCCTGGTGGTGGAAAGTGGGAGGATTGGTGGTGGATGTGGTGCTGGTGGTGATCACGGATGTGGTGACGGAAAGCCGTGCTGATTGAAATGGTGGATGTGAGTGGTGGTCCGTGAAGAAGGTGGCAACTGAGGAGTTTAATGCAAGTCCCCTCGTGAGTAGTACCAGTAGAAGCGATACAAGTGGCGATAGGCCGTTGATATTGATTATTGGCTTGAATTGGACTTTGCCAAATGACCTATGGTTTCACGGGTACATGAAGACTAAAATAGGCGAGTAATCGTCAAATTTAGCATGTGGGCCATGACAATCCTCTTGCGAATCGTTGCCCCCCCCCCCCCCCCGCTGTGTTCACAAGACGAGCCCTCAAGCCGGCTCACGCAGGCGGCTCGCAGTGCCGTGCCGTGAGCCCACGAAGCGGGGCAGCGGATCGATTCCTCTGCCGCACTGTCCTCACGTCTGCCCCCTCCGCCTCCACCAACCCGCCGATGTGGGGGGGGTCTGCTGCTGGCCCCACGACGAGAGAGCGAGTCGGGAGAGTTCGTGTCGTTTTGCTGTTCCTCTGACGGAGCGCAGACTAACAGTGGGTTTACTTCATGGTTCAGTTTGAGTTGCATTGCCACAATCGCGCTCTGGGTCGAATCATCTCATGGCATGGGGAGGCCCTCGATGTGCACAGACCAATGAGCTGCCTGACTTTAACGGAATGCGAGCACTCGTGA